GGTTTGAGTCAATTTGGGGTCATTTTGGGGCAGTTTGGGGGAGTTTTGAGAACCTTTGGGACAATTTTGGGGCAGTTTGGGATAGTTTGGGGGAGTTTGGGGGAAATTTGGGGAAACTTTGAGTCAATTCGGGGCAGTTTTGGGCGAGTTTGGGGCAGTTTTGTGGTGGTTTGAGGGAGTTTGGGGCAGTTTTGTGTCACTTTGGGGGAGTTTTGGAAAACTTTGGGGCAGTTTGAGGATCTGAAGCCCCCCCCTCAATTAATTCTCTCTCCACAGTGCCCCAGTGATGGCAACACAGAATGGTAAGGTGGGGGTTTAATTAAGGGGGAAATATTAATTATTATTAATTATTAATTATTAATTATTAATTATTAATTAGAGTGGTTTTAATTAGGGGGCTTGATTGGGAAGTTTAATTGGGGTATTTCTAGCTGGGGGGGGTTTGATTGGGTGGATTAATTGGGGGGGTTTAATTGAGGGGTTAAATAGGCCTTTACTTGGGTTTAGCTGTGTTTTAACTGAGGGTTTTAATTAAAGAGTTTTAATTGATGGGTTTGATTGGGGTGGGTTAAGTGGAGATGTTAAATTTGGGGTCTAATTAGAGGCGTTAATTATGTGGGGGGGGAATCTTTAATTGAGGGAGTTAACTGCTGACCTTGGGGTCTTGAATCCAGGAGTTTTAATCAGGAGATCTTTAATTAGGGGGTATTTAATGGGAGGGTGTTTAATTACTGGGGGGAGGTCGCTTTTGAGGGGTTCCCCGTTATTTTTGGGGTTTTTTCCCACCTTTGCCACCTGCACCAGGCCAGCACAATCCTGCACAGCCAGAAACCCGTGATGGCGAGAAAAAAGAGGCCGCCCAGTACCCCTCGAACCCCCAGAAAAATAAATTATCTGAGCAATCCCACAGAGTCTGCAACTCATTTTGGGGAGGGGGCACCCGAGGAATTGAGGAGGGCATCTCCTACCTTTTTACCGCTTGTTTTCTTCCCTGTTCCTTCCGTGTTTCTTGGCTCTTTTTCCACTCGTAGTTCTTGCTCTTTTCTCCCCTCACGCTTCCCGCCCTTTTTGTCCCCTCACGCTTCCCGCCCTTTTTGTCCCCTCACGCTTCCCGCTCTTTTTTCTCCTCACAATTCCTGCTTTTTTTCCCCTCACAATTTTGCTCTTTTTCCCCTCACAATTCCTGCTTTTTTTCCCCTCACAATTTTGTTCTTTTTCTCCTCACAATTTTGCTCTATTCCCCTCACAATTTTGCTCTTTCTCCCCTCACAATTTTGCTCTTTCTCCCCTCACAATTTTACTCTTTTTCCCCTCACAATTCCTGCTTTTTTTCCCCCTCACAATTTTACTCTTTTCCCCCTCACAATTCCTGCTTTTTTTCCCCTCACAATTTTGCTCTTTTTCCCCTCACAATTTTGCTCTTTCTCCCCTCACAATTTTGCTCTTTTTCCCCTCACAATTTTGCTTTTTCCCCTCACAATTTTGCTTTTTCTCCCCTCACAATTTTGCTCTATTCCCCTCACAATTTTGCTCTTTTTCCCCTCACAATTTTGCTCTTTCTCCCCTCACAATTTTGCTCTTTTCCCCCTCACAATTTTACTCTTTTTCCCCTCACAATTCCTGCTCTTTTTCCCCTCACAATTTTGCTCTTTTTCCCCTCACAATTTTGCTCTTTTCCCCCTCACAATTTTGCTCTTTTCCCCTCACAATTTTACTCTTTTCCCCTCACAATTTTACTCTTTTTCCCCTCACAATTCCTGCTTTTTTTCCCCTCACAATTTTGCTCTTTCTCCCCTCACAATTTTGCTCTTTTCCCCTCACAATTTTACTCTTTTTCCCCTCACAATTTTGCTCTTTTTCCCCTCACCTTCCTCTCCCTTTCCCCCTCATTTTCCCTTCGTGTTCCCCCCTCACATTTCTCCGTCGCACCCCAAAACAAGCTCCGTAAATTCAACGCGTTTAATTCTCCAGGTCAGGGTGGGGTGATTTTTGGGGGTC